ACCTCATAGACTACCTCATTCTTGCGTGGATGACATACTAGGTGATATTTTGGCTGATTGTGAACCCACATTGTAAGAGAGGCTCAGCCATTGATTAGCGTTTCCTTACGCAAGTATGCCAGCTAATAGTAACAGTTAAAAATTGGATGTTGGCTAGCAAAACTTTGCTATTTGAGTAATGAGCTTAGCTAATATAGCCGGGCAATCAAATTAAACTTTTTACAAAGAGTCATTGGATGCTTTGGCTATCAAACATTTATCTGATTGCTAGCTAACAAAGTCCAAATATTGTATCCCCAAAAAGTTCCTTTCGCAATTTTATTGTAATCTCCTTACATTTGTTTGCCTTAAATGTCCAAGAGGTTCTTCTTGTAGATTCGGATCATGATTGGAACCAGAGGTCTTGCTGAGATAAGACTGTTTACCATACTTTTCTTTGTGTCTATCTCTCAGAGATAATTAACTTTGTTTTTTTGTGGGAGTTCGATTTTACATAATTTCTCTATTTCTACAGGGGCTATAGCTATGCGTACTCTATTTAAATAAAATAAAATAAAAATTCCATTAAGAATTCCATTACCATGCGGGAAAATCTTCAACTTCCTTTCATCTCCTCTGAAGATCTACTACCGAGGGAATTATAACGGTGATCATGAAATTGTGCCTTTGGCTCAGCTCAAGAGACTTGAGCGTTTGCCGAATAGATAAGGTCTTATTACTACTTAAACTGATTACGTGAAGAAGACACCACTACTCAAATGTTTTTATCATTCATTTTTTAAAGATGTGCTTAAAATTCTTATTTGATCGCCAAACATGGAGATCACATTGATATCCAAGTTAGACTCTGGAGAACATTTCTATCTATCCAAATAATATCGTATAGGCTAATAATTAGGTCTTCTTTCATGAGTCACACCTTTAGATCTTGCGCTTAAAATTATTATAAATACTCCTCTCCATTTTTGAGATATTTCTTTTCTTTATATTCTGTTCATGCTTGAAACGTAAGTACTTATTTTATATAGTGTGTAATGCTACTAGTTTTTAGAAAAAGTTATATACTTGCTTCAATTTGTGCATAGTTGCACAATTTTATTTGACACTACATCTAAATGCTTTATGACTTTAAACCTGCATTGTAATTGCTGTATAGCATCTTTTTTCAACTTTGCGTCGCTCATGGAATTTTATTTACATTGTAATTAGATTACGGACATTTCTAGTACAGTCGTGCTGCTGTTTAAACATTACTCCGAAGAAATCTGGGTGATCTATCATTAGAATTTGTCACCTAGCTTGTTTTTTTAATCAGTTTACCAATCCTATTTTGTTATACAATGTCGGACAAGACTTTCAAATAACTGAGATTTCGAGCCATTTATAAAAAAATGTTTTAGGCATACTGGATTTTCGCATTTTAGGGCGGTTGAAAGCATATTCGAGCCTACACTTTTAGCTCAATTTAATTTTCTTCTAAGGTATTCCTCATTTCATATTTAGTTGAATCTGATAACGAATGACATGTTTGATATTAAGCTACTTTTTGATAGGATCGCGCATCCAAGTGCTTATACCTAATTTCATCGGCAGCCTTTTTACCTATCAATCCCATGATATAGCAGAAATCAAGTTACGGAGTCATCAGATTTTATTACTCTGCTACTAATTTTCCACGTTAAATAACATTTCCAGTCATCCCAGGATTCATAAGATGATGAAGGACTGATAGTTGAACCTTTACATATTGTTAAGAGTAGGCCTCTCGGAACCCGCTTACAATAAATATATTTTTCCATCTTTACTCGAAGTCTGCAAGTGCCGAGCCCTTTCTACCGGGAATTCATATCCCAATGTCCCTCAATAAATTTGCTAAAATTTTCGTGCTTTATCTTGTAAGTGAGAGCAGCGGATTTAAGATGTGCATTTTTATCTCATTCTATTTGCATATTATTTAAAATCAGCTGGAGAGTGCTGAACAATTCTCATGTGATCTTTTTACACAGGCTCTTCTTATTAACAACTAGCCTCTATTCTGTATGTTAGCAGGTGACAGAGCTTGATTTAACTCTCATTCTAACACAACGTTCCTTCAGAATTGTATGAGATGAAGCTATACTATACATGATACTATTATTCTATATTTTTACGATAATTTTTTAAATAACCTCTACTCAGATACTCGAATGTGTCACATGGCTTGAGACAGCTCGCAAAATCATGGAATTTCGATGCCAATCCTCTAAATATGGTAGCGCTAAACCAACCTCTGATCTAGATTCAGTAAAGACCAAATTCTGGTTACCCGGCTCATTTGGGCATTTTGATCCCTTAATAGACACAAAAAATCAACATGGTATAGTCAACACATCTAATGGCCCATGTCTCAAAAATGAGATAGGAGAGCAAAATGGACCAAATGAATATTATGATGCCAAGTATAAACGTTTGGCTGGCGACGAATCCACCAATTACGACGAAGTAGGCCAGGAACAGAGGCATGTGGAAAATGAAAAGGAGGACGAGGAAGATGATTTTGATGAGGGTGAAGATACTGAGGAGGAAGATGAAGATTTTGAGGATGAAGGTGGGGATGAAATATATGGAGAAGACAGGGAATTGTTGCCTTTTGACAGGATGAATCAGGCTCCTGACAAAAATGAAGTCGCTCTAAGAAATGATGACATAAGGCATGCTGATTCAGACGGCACTCTGGCCAAACTAGCTCCTCGACTCGAAGAGCCTCTTTTATTTTGTTCCAAAAGGCCGAGCCTTGATTGTCTTTGTCAGCTGCAGCTACAGGGTGACCAGGTGGCCGCGGCTATCGCTTATGTGCAGGCATCTCCATCGGACACCTTAAATCCCCTTAATTCAGCCTTGGTAGATGCAGCTACTCCGGCCTCTGTGACTGTAGAAGATACAGAAGATGAATCTAAACGTGTTTCCCGGGCTGAGCTTTTGGCAGTACAGCACCAAACGGCCCTTGATGCCACCTTAGCTGAGACAAGCCGGCGTCTTTTGGCACTTATTTGCTTGGCTAAAGGAGTAGAATTTCGCCTACAGATGATACTTGACTCCAAGTAAGTCTATACAATTCTTTAGTATAACATCTGTTTTTACTAACTTCACAATTTTTATACATAATTTTTTAAATTTTCCTTAATATTTTTTAAACCTAACTTCTTATTTCAGTATAATCATGCATATCTTCGTGATTTTACTTATTCGTTCTTATCCGACAGATTCTTACACATTGAAATTAAATGTGAATTATGTAAATCAAATGAGCCATCGGGCCCTTTTGTTCACTTGCACTGTAAATTTATCGCCACTTGATTTAGTTTTGAATTCATATGGGAGCGCTGATGAAAAGTATGGCTTACCCTAGATAATATAACAGTTTTTGAGATAAGGCCAGGTTAAAGGCTAGAATTCAATAACATCTTGGCATTGTAGGAAAACAGTCGTATTCACCCTGTTTCGTGTAAGGTAATAAGAGACTAGTAGCTGCATTTTTCCACGATGATTTAAGAAAACTTAATATATGCGAAGAAAAGTTGGGTTTCAAGGAATCTCTTGTTTCGTAATTGTTGAGCTTACTTCCATTTCGAGTGAAAGTGTTGGGTCGGTTGCACCAGAACACACCAGAACGCACCAGAACACCCAACACTTTCATTCGAAATGGAAGTAAGCTCAACAATTACGAAAACTTCACATTACTACGGAATTTCCCATCAGGGGTGAACTGCAGTTTCGATCTCGCCCAAGCTTCATCAGCACTCCTATCGGAACTCGACACATTGACCACTTCTCCACACCGCCACAAGTGACCTTGATAATTAAATTTCAATGGAGCCTAGGCCTTCCTCATATCATATTTCTGTATTAGGATTGCCGATGGAGTTGTAGGCTTTCGAGATTACCAGTACATCTTATATAAGAGCTGTATTCAATCTATTTCGTTCGAGGTGGTGAAAGCCTGACAATCATGCTTCTCCTTGGGCCATTAAGTCCGAATGATTTCAGACTAATTGATTATGACTGGTGGTTTCACAACCAGAATTTACGAGTACAGGCTTACGGAATCTCGATTATGCTTTTTCTTGGCTCATTAAGCCTTGATGATCCGGGGCTGACGTTAAGCTTTTGTTTGTTTATAGTCTTTAATACGCACGCACACAAATACACTCGAATTAAAGAAAACTTACCAAACCATTATACATCTATCTATATACAAACATTTTTTATGAGTATATATCGCATGTAGGTTAAAGCCGTTAATCATTTTGACTTACAGTTAATTTGAAACTTTTGGAAGAATGGGCTCCGGCTTTGATTTTTGCCATATAGTGAACGGATTCGGAAACAAGGGAATATTTCATGTGGTCTGCGTCAACCTAAAAGGGAATTAGCCGTCGTGTTGTGGTGAGATCAACCCACGAATATCTTCATACGAAATCGAAGTCTTCACGAAAATTTAGTCGATCAACTAAACATGTTGTCAGCGCTTTATCGAACATAAAATTCATGATTATTTAAAATCAATTTTAAAGCCCGGCGAATGTTCCTCTTCCCTATAGCCATTTATGGGGCAGTATATCTAAGGTTTTGAAAAACCTGAAGATTCCCAAATTCATTTGTATGGTGCACAATTAACTTTTATTTCTTCATTGCTTGAATGATATCTACTTAGATTAATACTGTTTCTAAATTTATTGGAGGAAAATCGTAAATGTCGATAATACTTTTAACTTATTAATATATATAATAACAGTAATAGGGGTTTTTATAAGGAAACTACTATCATCTTAGATCATAAAAGGCCCTAAAATAAAGTGTTCTACTATGAAACTAGTATAAAGCTTCATAATTTGTTTGAATTGAGTCTATAAGTCTTAATAAGGCATTCTCAAACATGATAGACTCAAATATCGGCCTCGTTTCTGATCATCGTTTTCAACGAGATAAGATTCGTTCTAGTGACCTCCAAATATCTCAGGGTGCCAATTAGTTACGAAGTAGATGTAACTTTTTAATTCAGATCAAGCCTTTCCCATTTCATCTTTTTATACCGGTACTGTTATCGTTAACCAAATCATATTTCTTATTAAATTCGACTATATTATTTATTATGATCGAGTAAGTACCAATAAAGGCTAGATAAATAATTAATTACTTGATCGAAGGTATGAAGAATAGGATGGTGTGGCATTTTGCATTGTCGCAGTCTCGTGTCGTTGTATAGAAGTTGTTTGACCTTGCTTTCGCAACTTGGCCATATTGGTAGGAAGACCTAGAGGAACGCTCCAAGTCCGAAGTCCATTGTATCATCATTTCCAGAGTCGGACCATGGACGTGAAACATTCCCAGACAGTTCGTCGGCATCGTCAGTAAGTTTTGCTATTCTTATCACCACTACAACTCGTCAAAGAGACAAGTGAAGCCGATTCTTTGACCAATTGTCTGCTAAATAGTCGTAGTATCTCTCCTTCCGTCCTGGGCTAATCACCAATCCTATATCCTCGTATCGCCTCCTTACTATCACAATTTTTTCTCCTTGCTTATTTAAATGTAGCATGGTGTGCCATTTAGAGCGGATTTCATGAAAACTATCTACACACATACTGGCTTTTCTATGCCCTCA